CAGATCTCCCATGATTGTATATCTACCTGATGTAAATGCTCACCCTATAAGTCTGTCTGTTGTTTTGCTGGAAGCCACAGGTGTGAGTTCAATTCCAGACCTATAGGAGAACTAGGGGCTATAGTCTCAGGATCTCACCAGGTCTATCAGACCAGTAAGCCTGGTCCTTTTTTATGATTTTGACTTTTGTTCCACATTGTTCTCCCACTCTATCCAGGATCTCCTGCACCGATCCCTTTCTGAGTGGTTGACAGTGGTAGCTGGGCACCATCTAGTTCTTCTGGTTAGAGCAATGTTTTAGTACAGTATGTTATGCCAGTTGAGCTTGATGTCACTTGCAGCCATGGTCCTGAGCCCACAGGTCCAACAACTTGCTCCATCAGGGTGGTTGACTGTATTGAAGAAGTTATCACAACTTTACCGGTCACCAGTTTTTGACACTGGTCTTTGATCCTCTTCTGTGGCTGTTGGATGGTTTAGGTTTTGCTGTTGGACTCACTTCTTTGTGTTTATTCAGCACCACCTATTGGCCATGGAGGTATAACAGAGGCCCCAGGGGAGGCTGTGGGCTACCAGCTGGACTTTCTGAAATGCTGTATATTCATGCTGAAGTTTGATCATATTTGATATAAACATCAAGGAAAAGTGAAACATTTCTGCAAAGAAGAGGAAGAGGAAGAAGAGGAAAACCCTAGAACTAAACTCACCCGATTTGGTTTCTCACCTGCAGGGTTTCATTTCTGTATCTTCCCAGCCCTTCATTGTGAGCAATTGAACTGTTGATGTGACCTGGCCTCCCTGAGTGACAGAGCAGAAGTGAGATTGACTGTATCTCGTAGCCCACAAGTTGGTTCCTAACAGACCACTGCAGGACATCAAGGTGCTCTCTTCCCAGGAGGTCTTACTTTCCATTGTGTCACTTCTGCACTTGTCCTCCATCCTCTGTCACCATCTTTGCTACTGGTGAAAACTGCTTGGTTGACATCGGGGCCTGTCACACAGAGAAAGGGCCTTGGGATTCTGGAGTCACTAAGAGGAAGAAGTGCTGATACAAAGTTGTCTTTTTTCCTTAAAATAAAAGGATTGGAGCAGTATTCCTCTTGTCCCCTCCTGCCACCTGCCTGCTGGCCATCAGACTGCTGGAAGAACAGGAGGGAGGGAGGACTGGCTTTGTCCAGAGGTGGGCCCTCATATACTTTGGGGCTATAGTGGTGACACTTGATTTGTGGGAAGAGCCAGGAGGGGTGGCACCAAGATGCCACAGCCTCCTAAGAGGGCTCCCAGGCACGGCTGCATCCCTGTGTCCCTCTTCCCAGTCCGTTGTCTGTAAGGCAGCAAGCAGCAGTCAGTATCTCTTGATCTACTGTTTGGTGTGTATAGATTTGACACACATGCATTTAGTGCATTAATGCATTCTTGCTGGAACATATGCAAACAGAGCAGGTGAAGGTAAAAACCCTTTGACCCTCTGCCCTCCTCGTCCCAGTCCTGGTTCCCTGCCCGTGCCTTTGATAGGCATCTGTAGACTTGGACTCTGCTTTAGTTAGCGGCTTTGTACGATAATGAAATCACACCGCTTGTGATGTTCAGCAGCTTGCTTTCCCCCATCTGGAGTTCTTTCTGTGTGAGAACATGTAGGTCTGTCTCTCTCTTGTTTGAAATCACTGCACGGTTTTCCATGGTATGATTGTACCGTAGTTTATTTATTTCCCTGTTGACAGGCCTTTAGGTTATTTCCGTTTTTTTGCTATTATGAATAATAACTAATGTAATTTAAAATGCATTATCCTTCCTCCTTTGTGCACATGAGTAGATTCTGAGAAGTAAAATTTCAGATGATAGCATTTTGTTTAATTTGCTTTTTAGTGTTTTGCACTTTAATGGCATGCATCTGGCAGTAATGAATGCCAAGGTGCAAGACGAGTCTAAGGCTGGCTGTGATGGTAAAGCTGTGTGTCACCCTGGCTGGGCCACGACTCACAGTGGTCTGAGTGTAGTGATAGAATTTGCCAGTTATGTCATGATATAGTCATCCTCCATTTTCACACAATGGCGATTTTCATGTAACGACCGGGCCTTTGGAACCTAACCATGCCTGTAAGTGAGGAGCGAGTGTGCTGTGGAAAGTCAATTTCCTCTTCTGCTGGCCCCTGGGCACTCTGTTGTGACTAGTTTCTCATGTAGCCGTCCAAATGCATCCTGTGCCGGTGCGCGTGCGTGCTGTGTACGGTCTCTGTGTGCCCTGCTTTACACCTTGCTTTCCCTTGGGCACGGACTGAGATGGATCTGTACACATAGATCTTTCCCATTTTTTTCTCTTTTTAGATTGAGCTGTAACTCTTATAAAGAATATAGTGTAGGGTTTGGGGACTTCACAAAGGTGTGCAACCATCACCCCTATCCAAATCTAGAACATTTTTATCACCCCCAAAAGAAACCCCATCCCCTAGCCCCTGGCAACCACTCATCAGCTTTCTGTATTCTTACTAACTGCTGTGTACATGCCGTTGCGTGGCAGTGTCATAAGTTATTTAACTAGTCATTTCTGGAATATTTGAGTTGTTTCGTCTTTCACCACTATGAACAGTACGGTAGTGACTCTCCTTGGATTTGTTTATTATTTTATACATTTATGAGTATATCTATGGGATCAATTCTAGAAGAATTCTTACTAAGTTTAAAAGTATGTGGTGTTTTTTTTTTTTTTTTTTTTTTTTGCGAGTCATTGCCAAGTTGTTCTCTAGAGAGGTCATACCAGCATGTCCTCTGAGCAGCATCGCGCTGTGCCCCAGGACTGTGTCAGCTCGGAGTGGGTCGCAGCGAGTGGTCATTGCACCGTCTGATTGGTTGGTTGATGCTTGGGGCTGAGTGTTTTTGTTTGTTGAGGAACCATTTGTGTTTTCTGAGAACAGGCAGCTCAGGAGCCCTTTTCCTTTTTACTCTGAAGCTGGTGTGTTGTTTTCACTTCCCACACCGACGTGTAAGGACTCTTGTGGAAGGTTTGTCAGTGCTTTCCTCCCTGTCTGTCATTCTGACTTTTGATCGTGTGCAGACTCTTGGGTTTTACTAATGGTCATCGGGCCTTCTTCCCTCTGCCTCCTGGGCTCTGTGCTTCCCAACTCGCTCGTTCTCCTCGTACCTTTCTGACCGGCACTGCTTGTTAATAATTCACTTTTACTTCCTTGAGTGGAAGCGCTGCTTTGATAATACACAGAATTCCCACGCTTCTGGACTTCTTCCTTTACTCCATGAGTTCTGCTTGTGTGTTAGGTATTGCAGCTCTATAATGTGTTTTAACGTGTGGTAGGTGATAGGCCAGGTCACCCTGTCACATGGCTTTGCCTGTTGGCCTCCCTCCAGGCATGTGTGAGAGCCATTTACCCTCCATACCATTGCCGACACCACTGCATTTTGAATTTTGAAGTGTTTCTCAACATAATACATGAAAACTGCATCTTGCTTTAATTTGCATTTCTAAGATTACTAGTAAAGTCTAGCATCATTTTGTATGTTGGTTGGCCATTTGTATTTTTCTTCTCTGAATTGCTTATTCATTTCCTTTGCTCATTTTTCTATAAAGTTTGTCTTTCTAACAATGGGTAGGGATTCTTTATATAGTCCGGTTTTTGCTTTTTTTCTGTAATACATGCAAGTATTTTTGTCTTTTTTTTTTTTTTTAATGAGAATTATTGTTTGTTTAGGAGCTCTGGTAGCATAGTGCCTAGGGCACTTGCCTGCTAACCAGAAGGCTGGCGGTTCAAACCCACCAGCCACTCCTCGGAAGGAAGGTTGGGCAATCCTACTTCCATAGTGATACTGCCTCAGAAACCCAAGGAGGGGTCGCTATGAGTCAGACGGCAAATAACAACAACAACAACAACATTGTTTGTTTATTTTTTAAGCACAAATGAGATTCTGATACTCACTTTCTTAAAGCCTTTCAAAGGCTTCCCGTTGCTCTTAGGGAAAAGACCGAGCCCCTGACCGAGGCTCTTGAGGCCCCATGTGGTCTGGCTTCTGCCTGCTCTCCAGCCTGCCTGGACCCAGCCGCTCCCCTGCCTCCAGCACAAGCCGGGCAGAGCTCAGCACGGTCCTCCCTCCTCCCCTTGGCCTCTGGGCCTTCACTTCAGTGTCACTTCCTAAATGTCACTTCCTCCAGAGAGTCTCTGCTCACTGTTGTGGCTGGGTCCGCTGTGCCTGCTGTGTGACACTCAGCACATGGGCCGTGTGCTCCTTGTGGGTAGGGGTCTGCCTCCCCTGCAACCCTCAGCTCTTAGCTTGGTTCCTGACACAGAACAGGCTCTTCATCACTTGCTGAACTGGCATGTGGGGCCCGGGCCCTGCCTTCTGAGAGCAGGTGACTCCGCTGCTGTGTGGGTACTGAGGAGGCAGGCAGGGCCTGAGAGGGGTTGACAGGACCCTGAAGACATGGGTGGCAGTCCCCGTGTACTGCTCAGAGGAGATGGCATTTGAGCAGCACCTTTAAGGATGACAGGTGGGGTGGCCTGAGGCAGGGGAGGCCTCACTGGTGCTAAGGCAGGTGGGATGTTTGGTGTCCCTGGATTGTGAGTATCTCATGGGGACTGGTGGCAAAGGAGGTGGGCCAGGACCAGACTAAAGAAGATGAGCTTTTATTCTGTGGTCAAGAGATTTCTTTTTAACTTTTTTTTTTTTGGCAAATTTTGAAGATATGCCAAAGTAGACTGGATAGTACTATGAACCCTGATGTACCATCAGCTCCCACAGTGTCAGTCCCCAGCCAGTACTGTCCCTCCATGTCCTGCACCATCGCCACCTCCATGCCTTGCCCTCCACCCCCACTCCCTGCCACCCGGTATCACGTTGTAGTGACCCCATAGCCTAGCTGATGACTCATGAAGTCCAGCTTGGGCTTGGACTGGATTGATCGGTTTGGGTCTTGGCTGATGAGTGGCACATCTTGGTTTAGCTTCATTTTAAGAGGATCACTGAGTCTCCCAAATTCTTGTCTTGCCTTCCAGTGGGAAGCTGGTGTCTCCCAAGTGGAAGAATTTCAAAGGCCTGAAGCTGCAGTGGAGGGACAAGATCCGACTCAATAACGCCATCTGGCGGGCGTGGTACATGCAGTGTGAGTGCTGTTTGAGCACCCAGGGCCCCGCACGTGTTCTCGGAACCTTGCAGTGTCTCGGGCAGTCTGGACGGGAGGGCTACACACGTCCGAGGCCGGCCGTCTGACTCTGTCGACAGCAGGTGCCATGAGTTGGGAGAAGACAGATGTGTTGAGCAGCAGGGTCCTGTGGTAGTAGGCTCAGGCTTATGGCATGCCGTGCTGTCCAGGCAGAGGAGGAGGGACTCGCTCTTTTGGGGGCGTTAGGAAGGTTGCAGCAGAGAGGGGCCCTTGGAAGGGTCGGGGAGCAGCAGGTCCGAGAAGCAGGCACAGGCCCTCTCCTCAGCTCAGGGCGCAGCACCCTCTGATGAGCAAGCCGGGGGCCACTTACCTCTCAGTGAAGCAGTCGCCCCTCCTGCCTGCGCATGGTCGACAGGCTCCTTCCTGTCTTCTAACATGGCCCCGTGGGAGGAGGCGGGAGGCCACATGGAGGGTCCCGCACCCAGGGAAGGGGTGGAGACAGGTGCGGGGGGAGCTCCGTCAGGGCTCTGGGCTGCAGTGGCTGTGTCTCATCCTCTCTGCACTCTGTGCCCAGATTTGGAGAAGCGCAAGAACCCCGTGTGCCACTTTGTCACTCCACTCGACGGCTCCGTGGACGTGGATGAGCATCGCCGGCCAGAGGTACTGGGCAAGTGACCATGGTGGCAGGAGGGGAGGGCCACTCTGAGAGGGCTCAACGGGAGACCAGGGGCTGCATGTCCTTAAGAAAGGACATGGGCAGCTAGTGGCTTCTGATAGCCCATGGGCTGCAGGGTTCCCCTTGTTCCCTTTTCTCAGGCTGCGCTGACCTAAAACCGAAGGGTCCCAGATCAGGACACAGCCTGTGCTCTCATGTGAAATTATTGCCGGAAGTCCGCAGGAGGCTCTGGCTCCTTGTTCAAGAGAGGCCACCCTCAAGGCCCTTACGCACTGAGAGGGAAAGGTGTCAGGGAAGTAGTAAACAAAACAGGAGGTGGCACAAGGATGTTAATTTTTTAAATTAACATAATTTTAAAATGATGTGCGTCTTTGGGATGATCTGTTCATAGGAAATGTCTAAAAGGGTTCCCAGAAGTCATTTAACACGGGATCATCTGGAGAGTGCGGTCAGATGGGGCGTGAGAGCAAAGAGACCCTCATTCCTGCTCTTCTGCATTACTGTGGTTTCGCCCAGGCGTGGCTGGCTTTTATGATACAACGGAAAAACACCCAATTTAAAAAGTAACCTAATGAAAGGCCGTTTTGAGACAGTTAGGCATGTTCTGGTGTTAGCCAATAGGAAGGAATGTCATTTGGTAGGTATCGTGGGGATTTTAGAATCGTCCTTTAAAAAATGGTTCCTCCCACACTTGTGGCTTCCAGCCAAACAAAAGATAGGCATATGAGCTGAACATTTACCTGAGGTAGATATACTCCTTGGAGAGAACAATCATGGGAGAAAGAAGGGCTGCTTATGCACAGGGAGACAGCTCAGGGGGCAGGAGTGCATGGAGGGATGGACACAGGGAAGAGGTAACTGTCGGAAGGAAGTGGGAGGGGAGCTGTTGCATTGTGCTAAATTGTGGTCATGTCATGAGACAAAGTATATGTGAACTGCTGTATGGAAAGTGAATTTGCTCTGTAAATTTTCACCCAAATCACAATTAAAAAAAAAAAAAAGGTTCCTCACAGAGACAGACACCAAAGTATTCATGTGTGAAATGATGATACCTGGGACTTGCTTTAAAATATTCCAGCCAAAAGAAGACAAAAAAGGAACCTGGAAGTGAGGTGGGCTGAAGAAGTAGTGAATTCTTTATCCTGGGTGGTCAAATGGTGCATGTGCTTCACTACTGACCAAACGCTGGTTGGTTCAGGCCCCCCCAGACGGGCCTCAGAAGAAAGCCCTGGCCGTCTACTTCTGAGAAGTCGGCCTCTGAAGACCCTCTAGAGCCCAGTTCTCCTCTGACAGGCGTGGGGTCACCATGGATCCAAATCGACTTCATGGCCCCTGGGGTGGGCTGGGTAGGGAACTCTTTATGCAGATAACCTGAAGGATATCATGAGAGGAGTTCCTGCTTCCCCTGATGGAAAAGTTGGGTTAGACGCTCTTGGAGGTTACATTCCACCTGAAAGTCTGTAATCGGCTTGGTGTTTACCCTTTGGAAGCGGCCGAGTGGCTGCCCGTGAGTTCCTGTGCGTGGCTCAGAGGCTCCGCCTCCCACCCAGGCATCCAGCTCTGCCGTGGGCTTCCAAGCCTGATCCCCAGGACCAGTCCCACTGACCGGGGATATCTTAGGTCTTCAAATGAAAGTGCAGGTTCAGTCGGGGGGACGAGATGGGATGCGCTTTGTGAGCATCAGTGTAACGCACGCAGTCTCAGCCGGCCACCCAGGCGGACTTCCAGCATCTGACTCTTCTCCCTTCACGTGTTGAGTTTTGGTCATCAACCAAGAAGCTGTTGTTTATTCTACTCTCTGTCTCCGTGACAGGCCATCACCACGGAAGGGAAGTACTGGAAGAGCCGCATCGAGATTGTCATCAGGGAGTATCACAAGTGGAGAGCCTACTTCAAGAAACGGGTACCCAGCCTCAGCTCCCAACACGCACTCGCAGGAAGGCCCTGTGGCGAGGAAAGGAGTAGATCCCGTGTTCAGAACCCCGGCTCCCAGACGCACGGGGCTGGGGAGTCACACGGGCGGGAGCCAGGGGACTAGGGCCATTGATGCCACACTGGTTGAGCATCTCTGTTGTGCCAGGCCCTGGCCTGGGGACAGCAGAGGCAGGCTCCCTCTCCCTACTCAGAGCCCCACAGGGTGTCCAGAAGGTTTCCTTGTTCCTGGGGCAGCGCAGCCCAGGCACTGACCCTGCCCAGGGCCTGAGGGCACCCCTTCGTCTGCTCTCCCTTCCCTGCAGCTCCAGCAGCACAAGGATGAGGACCTCTCCAGCCTGGCCCAGGTGGGTGTGCGACGGGGAGAGCTGGGCGCCTCTCAAGGGGGGTGGCCCTCAAGGGAGCCACCCCTCACGGGAGCTGCCTCTGGCTGCCGAGAGCCCTGATCCCTGCCGTGGATGGGACTCTCCCGCAGGCTAGAGAAGGGGCCACCTCCCTCCTCCCACAGAGGCCTGGTAAAGGCCGACTAGACTGGAGCCTGGGCCTTGTAGCACCTCCCCAGCACCATGGGGTTGGGGTGCCTGAGCTCCATGTTGCTCCTTTTCCCACCCCTCTCTCCTCTGTGAGTTAGGATGACGATATGCTCTATTGGCACAAACGTGGGGATGGATGGAAGACTCCAGTGCCCATGGAGGAGGACCAGCTGCTGGACACAGACATGCTCATGTCCGAGTTCAGCGACACCCTCTTCTCCACGCTGTCTTCGCACCAGCCCGTGGCCTGGCCCAACCCACGGGAGATAGGTAACCGCACCTGAGTCCTTTGAACCTGAAGAGCCTGCTGCTTTTACTTCCTGGCCAGGCCCCTGGGCCAGACTGTGTTTCAGGCCCAGCGCTGGGCTGCTGCACGTCCCTTGCTTTTGCTCAGGGCAGGTGTGTGAGGAAACAAAGAAGTGGCCAGCCCTGTTTGACATGAGGCCACATCCATTTGATGGGGTAGGGGAGGTGGCAGACCTCGGTGCCACCGTGGGAGAGCAGATCCTGGGCTTGGTCTGGGTCACTGTGCCGTGTTGTATTTCTGATTCTGCACCTGGCTGGGGGTGTGGCTACACGGGGCAACAGGGCCCTGCGACTCACCTGGACAACCAGGAGCATCCTTCCTGGGCGGGACCTCTAGCCTGGTGGCATGCTGTCCGAGAGATGACCCCCGAGGGAGGAGCCAGGGAGCTTCTGCTTAGCTGTTCACGGCTTCTTGGGGGCACCCATTCCCCGCTCCTCCGTTGACCTTTCTCTCCTGCCTTCTGAGGGCAGAGAAGGGCCGTGAACTTGCAGAAGGTGGGAATCCCAGCCGGCTGCCTCCAGTTCCCCTTGAAAGAATTAGAACGTGAGCAGGGCCTTCTTGCGTGTTCCTGCGCCGTTGTCTGAGAAGGCAGAATGACGCCTGTCTCCTGTCCGATTCTCACAGCGCATCTGGGGAACGCAGACATGATCCAGCCGGGGCTGATCCCTCTGCAGCCCAACCTGGACTTCATGGATACATTTGAGCCTTTCCAGGGTGAGCAGCCCCGAGCAGAGAGCACTGGTCATGGGGAAGCAGCAGACTTAGGACTTGGTGATCACAGCCTTTTCCCTTGGGGAGTGTTTCTGGGATGATGTTCTCTGAGAAACTCTGTGTTCTGTCCGGAGCCTCAGGCTCTGCCCTGGGCGTAAGCAGTTCCCCCTCTGGGCAGCAGGGGGCGCTCAGGACACAGCCATCACACGCTAGCTCCCCATTCATTAGAGCCCGGTGAAGGGTCAGGCCCCGGAGCCTTTCAGAGCCCAGGCTAGTTGCCAGCATGTGTGGTTCGGGCAGAGGGCCTCTTTTTGCAGAGTTCTCTGTGGGAGGGTGTGCCATTGCCTGCACCATAGCTGGGTAAACTGGGGCCAGCGTTCAGTCGGGACCTTGGCAGCAGTGAGCACAGGAGCCTCACAAGGCCCTTGGCTTTGTCTTCCAGACCTCTTCTCCTCCAGCCGCTCCATCTTTGGTCCCGTGCTGCCTGCTCCTGCCCCGGCACCTGATCCCAGCAGCCCCCCTGCTCAGGTATGAAGCATGTCCTCGGAGCTGGCCACCAGGGCTCGGCTCGGGGCAGGACCATGCGGTCATGAGCAAGCAGCACGCTCGGGGCTGCTCCGTCTTGTGCTGACCCATCAGTGAAATCCTGACTCTGAGCGTTCTGTTCAGTGCCCATGAGGTGGAGGCTGGGTTCGAAGCACCTTCCCAGGGACCCTTATCCGTGTATCGTTCTGTTCTGACCAGTTAAGGTAGAATTAGCTAGACAGACAGAAAACACAGACCATTAAATAAAGGTAAAACCAAAAAACCAAACTTACTACCATCAAGTGGATTCCGACTCATGGCCACCCCAATTGGGTTTCCAAGTCACCAAATCTTTATGGAAGTGGATTCCCCCATCTTCCTTCTGTAGAGCATGTAGTGGGTTTGAACCGCCAACCTTCTGGTTCGCGGTCAGATGCCTTTTCCCCTCTTCTCTGCAGTCAGCAGGGGTGGTTCCCTGGCCCTAGGGCTGCTGGGCCGAGTGAGGCCTGGTTTCCACCCATAGGGGTCTCAGCTGCTGCTCATGTCCACTGAGACTCAGGTGACCTGGCCCTGCCGTCCTCCCTCGGGCATGAAGGTCTTCTGTGGAAATGGCATCGTAGCCTGTCCCATCCAGGAAGAGGCGGCCTCTCTAGAAGTGGACACAGGAGACGGTCCTGTGATGCAGGCTGCTTCTGTACTGTACTGGAAGGTGGCAGAGGCCCTGGGGAGACCGTGCTGGATTCTGGAAACCAGATAGTCCCTGGCTGGCATCCAGCTGTGGAGCAGTGGCCGCCTGCGCTCAGGCTGTCTTTGGTTCCTGGTGAAAACAGGACTCTGCAGACGCCCAGGGGCATGCAGCTCCTTGGCCCATGTCTCCAGGGCTTTGTCCCAGCACCCAGTTCAGTGGTGGACTTGGTGGTGTGTGGTGCCAAAAGGCGAGAGCAAGTGTCTGACCCCAGCCCTTGTTCCTCTCCTTTTCCTCCTCCTCCTTTCTCAGGAGAGCATCCTGCCAACTGCCGCTCTTCCCACCGTGAGCCTCCCAGACAGTTTCATTGCCCCCACTGCCACCACGTCTCTGGACCCCTCGGAGCAGCAGAGCTGTGACCACAGCCCCCGCGCCAGGGACCCTTTCGTCCAGCCCACCACCTTTGGCCCCTCGGAGCCCCCACTGAACGTCCCACAGCCCTTCCTTCCTGTCTTTACCATGCCTTTACTCTCTCCTAGCCCTGCCCCCACACCTGCTTCACCTGCCTTACCACTAGTTCCGCCTCCCACCACGCCCCTGAGCCCCTCAGCTCCCCCTGCCTTCCTGCAGGCACAGAAGTTTGGAGTCAGCAAGCCCCCCTCTGTCATTACCCACACAGCTTCTAATACGCTCACCCATGATGCCTCTGCCACCACCTTCAGCCAGAGCCAGGGCCTGGTGATCACCACCCGTCCCCCAACCCCTTCCGTCTCCCCCTGTGGACTGGCGCTGTCTCCTGTCATCCAGCCACCAGCCATTGGGCCCCCCCAACCCCGTTTAACCTTTGTGTCCCCCAAACCTGTGCCCTTCACTGGGGGTAGAGCCAAGCAGCCCCCCAAAATAGTGCCTGCTCCCAAACCAGAGCCTGTGTCCTTGGTGTTAAAGAGCGCCTGCATTACTCCAGGTGAGTCAAGGTAGAGCTGCACCTGAGTGTGGTTGGGTCCTAGCCCCACAGGGTGGGCCAGGAGCTGTGCACCCCACCCTCACCCTCACGTTTTAAGGGAAACACCAGTTTCAGGACAGCATGCAGACGTGTGATCTGGCTGATCCTCTTCCCGTATCTTTTCCTTTAAATTGGTCTGACCCGCAGTTTGAAACCTCCCAGTCCAGACCATCATGTTCCTGGGCCTGCTGTCTGTCCCTTCTAGGGACGAGGTGCAGAAGGATTTTTGCTGCTCTGGGGACTTTGTCTTTTCTTGACTTGAGGGCCAGGTGTCTCCCTGGCAGGAGGGGTTGTCTGTTCTTGGCGGCCCTGCTCCTTGGCTGTAGCTGGAACACAGTCTGGCGGCTCTGCTTCTTGGCTGTAACTGGAACGCGGTCTGCAGATTGGGCGCTCACCCCTCTCCCCGGCTGTCAGCTGCTTTTCCAGGACAGCCACAGGCGGTGATTATGACCTCAGGCCCCCTGAAGAGAGAAGGGATGCTGGCTTCCACTGTGCCCCAGCCCAACGTGGTCATCACACCCACCGCCATTGCCAGGGTGAGGAGGTGGCGCACCTGTCCTGGGGAGGGGCCAGGGACTTGGGCATACTCTCCATGTCCTTACAGCACCACCTGTATCCTGCCTGGCTGTAGTCTGCACTTGGAGTGACAGCCCTCTCCACTCACTGCAGGCTCCTGGAGTCACGGAGTTCCACAGCAGCATCCTGGTGGCGGACCTCGGCCACACCCCAGGCAGCCAGCCTCCTGTCTCCCGGCTCTTCTCCTCGAGCACTGTGTCGGACGCTCTGGTGAAGGGCGAGCAGGGCCCATCGCACGGGGGTGGCCCCCAGCTCCCCACTGCGGGTCCCAGTGAGTGTTCACTCGAGTGGGGTGGTGGGGCTTTGTCAGGAGAGGCCCCCGGGCTGGAACATTCAGCATAGGCATTCCTGACTTGAGCCTGGTCCTCAGGACAGGGCAGTGAGATCCCAGGCCTGTGCTTGGTGGTGTCAGGATGGGCAACGGTCTGGCTGACTGGGCGCACGGCATAGGAAAGGCTCTTCAGCTCTCTGTGGCAATGCCTGGCTCTGAGCTGTCGGTTCCAATCCCAGAAAGGAGCTGAGGAGGTGCTGTGGCAGCCTGTCCTTGGCCCCAGGCTCCCCATGGTCAGAGCACTTGGCGTCTTTGAGCCTGTTTGAGCATTGAGGGCTCAGGCAGGGCTGGTTTACATCCGGTGCCACTGCAGGCTCTGGCAGTGTCCGCATTGCTGTCCCAGCACCCCATGCAACAGCTGTCCTCCTTCTGCCTCCAGAAGGCGTGAGGAGGAGAGATCTCTCCCGTAAAGGGAGTGGACAGTAGGAGAACCTACCCAAGCAGGGTTTGGGAAATCAGGATTAGTCTGTAGGGCAGAAAAAGACTTGGCATCGTTATCGTTACAAGGGAGAGGCAGGATGAGTCCACCTGGTGCGGGTCGGGAGAGGCTGTGGTGTGGCACGGTAGTTGTTTGGGGAAACGGTGCCGGTACCGTTAAGGCAGCATGGACCGATTCCAGAGGGAGCCGTGACATCTCTCTAGAGACCCTGTGAGGAGAGCACACTGCCTCAGCCACAGGCCTTTCCACCATGCATTGAGGGCCTGAAAGGGGGTTTTTGTCTTTCTTTCTAATTAGAGGACTTCAGGGGGTGGGTGAGACAAAGTGTGAAACGACAGACCATCCGGTTTAAAGTAAGAGAACGCAGAGTGAGGGGGCCTTGCAGATGCCACAGATGCCCCTGGGTGCCTGGAGGCGGACTTCTTGGTGGCACAACTGCGTCCAGGTCACGCCCGCCTGTCCTCTGACAGCAGGATCCTGCCCAGGCTGGGCCACACACCCTGGGGCGGCTGGGCACCGCTTTGTGTTGGCCAGTGTGTCTCTTTTTGCTTGGGCCACTCTGGGAGTTAGAAACAAGTTACTGAATTTTGGGTCTTGTCAGGTTTTCCCTGGGGTTGCCGCAGACACTTTAGGGTTCTTTTCCCAAGAGGAGTCTGTTTTGTCAGGTCGTGACGGCCCCAGCTCTGGGCAGGCCTCTCCATGTGCGTCTGAACAAAGCCCCAGTCCCCAGTCTCCCCAGAACACCTGCTCAGGGAAATCTGCAGACCCTAAGAATGTGGCTGTGTTAAAGGTATTTGAGGACTGGATCACCTCAGGAGGACGGGGGTGGCAGGAAGACAGTGGGAGCCTTTGGGTCAGCTTCTCCCTTGTTGGGGACATGGCGAGTTGGGACAGGAGAGCCGCAGAGTGCCCAGGCTGCACAACGCTGGGGCGCATCACACACATTGGGGGCTGCTGCTTTAATCTCGGGATTGCACAGCCCTTTCATTCGCACCCGCTATGCGTCCTCCCCACTGTCAGCCCCACGGTGGTGCTGGGCATAGTGGAGACCTCTGCAGGGGCTCGAGCCTGGGGCCTGCAGCATAGTCCCTGTGTGGTGCTGGTGGTCAGCTCAAACCATCATTTATTGTAAGACGAGGTAGCATTGAAAAACACGGGGCCAGGAGACAGAGATTAGACACTGGGTCTGAAAGCCCAGTTAGCACATTTGTTCTGTGGCTGACTTCCTGGCTCCACTTCGTAGCCATGGTGTCCCTGTCCTGCCCCTCCTGCTCCTTGTGGGAACAGCTCAGACTGTCACCTCCTCCTTCCACACCTCTGTGTAGCCTGGCCTCTGTGTACACCTGCTCTGGGCTCACATGGGGTCAGGAGGTGTGCAGGGTAGGGCCTAACCCGTGTCGAGAGTGACACCATCTCCCGGCAGAACCGGCAGATGAAGCACATTTCTGCTGAACAGAAGAGGCGCTTCAACATCAAGATAGGCTTCGACACCCTGAACAGTCTGATCTCTAATAATTCTAAGCTGGTGAGCTCACAAGCAAATGGGGGTGGCAGGGAGCTGGCCAGGAGTGCCTTCTGCCATGCACTGAGCTGTCGCTGGTGCCGGGGACCCGCCCTCTCCCACAGACCAGCCACGCCATCACCCTGCAGAAGACGGTGGAGTACATCACCAAGCTGCAGCAGGAGAGGGGCCAGCTGCAGGAGGAGGCCCGGCAGCTGCGGGAGGAGATCGAGGCGCTCAACGCCACCATCATGTGAGGCAGTGGGCAGGCGGGCAGGAGAGGGTTCCTCCACGCTGCCGCACGGCAGCGCCTCCAAAGCTTGCCCGCTGTTGTTTCAGCTCCTGCCAGCAGCTGCTCCCTGCCACCGGCGTCCCTGTCACCCGGCGTCAGTTTGATCACATGAGAGACATGTTTGAGGAGTATGTGAAGAGCCGGACCCTGCAGAACTGGAAGTTCTGGATTGTATCTTTGGTGTCACTGGCTCCCCACCCCAACCCGTGCAGTGACAAAGCAGATGGCAGCCCTCATTCTCCTTAGGAAGGTTAGCTTCCCATAGGTTTCCTCCTGTCTCCTAGAGGAGACCGGCTGCCGTGTGCAGTAGGGCTGTCGTCAGCAACTGCATCCAGGGTTGGGGCCTCCTGGGCACCTGACAGGAAGGGCTTGGAGGCAGAACAGGACCTTGAGAATAAAGACAGTGCCCATGCCACTGCAGAGTGGGAGGGGCAGGGACCCCAGGAGCCAGCAGCAGGCTCAGTGATCCTGGCAGCACGAGCCACCACACTGGGACAGACAGGAAACCAGGCCTGTCCCCTCAGGCTGCCCTCTGCATCAACTCTGCAGGGCCTGACTAGTGAGGAGGGCGGGCACCCGAGTCCCAGCTCTGCCTCCGGGCCAGGGCCACCCTCTACCCTGCCTTCTGATGGCAAGTGGGTTCCTATTGGGTGCTCCTGCCATTTTTACCCCCCACCCAGCCACCCTTCTGCACACCTGGGGGCTCGGCTTCTGCCTTAGGGCCTTGAATCCGATGGTCTGAGGGGGCAGTCATGCAAGAAAAGAGAACTGTAGCTGCCTTTGATGGCAATGGGGCAGATGACCCTAGTGGGTGATTTGAAGGAAGGGGCCACCAGCCCTAGTGCCTGACCTGGCTTTACTCTGTTTGGTCTTGGCCCGTACCATTCAGCCAAGTGCTGGCAGGTGGCGTGAGTCAGATGAGGCTTGGTAAAATGGCTGCAAGAGTGGGCACTGTGGGCATGATCCCAGTCAGGGTGAATCGGTGAGATGTCCCTTGTGCCTTTCCTGGACCCATTCCCACAGGGGCTTGGGAGACCTGCACGGTATGATCAGAAGCTGGCACACCTAACATGAGATGCACATGGTCTCTGGACACCTCCGCGTCTCCAGCTCTCGCCAGTGTCCATAATAACCGTCGTGTCCACATTGCTGTACTAGGGCTCTCCACCGGCCCTGCTCTCCCATTCCTGTTCCGTCCTGCCAGAGGGTTGCCTGAGCCATGCTAAAGACGTGCCTGCCTTGTCTGGAGCAATCTGCCACCCTCTGTTTCTTCATTCTCTCTGGATGATTCTCAGCCTGTCCCAAGGGAGACCAGTAGCAGGGAGAGTGGCTCGTAACTGGAATCCGTTACGTGCCCCAGGCCTGCCCTGCACAGACCCTTCCTTAACAAGCGTGTAGTTCAGTATCATCATCAAGCCGCTGTTTGAGTCATTCAAGGGGATGGTGTCCACCAGCAGCCTGGAGGAGCTCCACCGGACGACACTGTCCTGGCTTGACCAGCGCTGCTCTCTGCCCGTCCTCAGGCCGAGTGAGTGTGCGGGGCGGGCGCTGTCCTGATGGCCCTTAGCAGAAGGTAGGACCTAGGGAAGCCTAGACCTCCCCTGTAAGGACCCCAGGGCCGAAGAAAGTGCTGTTCAGCTGGCCCTTAGCCAGAGAGGCTTAGAGGAGCAGCGGAAAGCAGGTGATTCCCACAGTCAGGTTGCATGTCACTCTGACCACATCCAGCCTCTGTCAGCTGACCACCTGCTGTGGTAAGACTTGTATCCAGTAAGGAGCTCTGGTGACGCTGTGGTTAGAGCTCAGCTGCTAATTGAAAGATCGGCAGTTCAAACCCACCAGCTGCTCCGCTGGAGAAAGACATGGAATGGAAGTCAGCTTCCATACAGATGACAGCCTTGGAAACTATGGAGCAGTTCTACTCTGTCCTCCAGGGGCACTGTGAGTTGGAATTAACTTGACAGCAGTCGCTTTTATGTTTTGTGTCAGGTTTTTTCAGGTACACTTTCCTGTTTAGTTCATACAATAAGCTATCCCTGTATGTTAAGGCTACACCAGTTGCCATGGAGTTGATTCGAGCTCATGGCAGTCCCACACGTGTCAGAATAGAGCTTTGGTCCACAGTGCTGGCAGGGCCTGATTTTCCGGAAGTGGATTACCTGAGGTGCCTCTGGGTACACAGACCTCCAGCTTCCTGCTTAGCAGCCAAGTACATGAACGGGTTGCATCACCCAGAGATTCCAGACTCAGGTTATGGAAGCTTAAGAGTAAAACAGATGGAGCCCAGCCTGTGGAAAGCAGACACAAGTTAGGGCTCTCTACCTGTCTGGAACCCCTAGTAGGGTTTGGGGAGTCCTAGCATAGTGCCTAAGGCACTTGACTGCTAACCAGAAGGCTGGTGGTTCAAACTCGGAAGGAAGGTTGGGCAATCTACTTCCGCAGTGATACCGCCTCGGAAACCCAAGGAGGGGTTGCTGTGCGTCGGTTCCAACTCGACGGCACATAACAACAGCAAGGGGCAGAAAGGTGTGAGTGCCTACGCATCAGCAGAGGGCTCCCCATCTCTCCTTCCTTCGTCTGGCTCAGCGGTGTGTGCTAGAGAGTCACCACATGGGGTTGTGTGTGTGACGTGCAGACCAGACACAGGGGTTGCGGGTGCTGCGTGTGCCTGGCTAACCCCCGTCCTGTCTTGCAGTGGTGCTGAACACCCTCCGCCACCTGAGTACCACCACCTCTGTGCTGACAGACCCAGCCCGGCTGCCAGAGCAAGCGTCCAAGGCCGTCACCAGAATCGGCAAGAGAACTGGCGAGTCTTAGCACTTAGCTGGCATGTGGCCACATGAGGTGCCATGGAGACCCTGCCCTGCCTGTGGAGAGGGGGCTGTGCCCCTAGCCATTCCTGACACAGAGCCTCAGGGCCCCTCCCCCACTGTGACGGTCCCCTGGTCCGTCCCAGATACCACACTCAGGTTGATAGCAGGTGTGGGTCCCACCAACAGCAGTGGCTCAGCTCTGGGAGCCCTTTGTGGTGCGCTCTCACCCAGCGACCTCAGTCACCAGTCCCCTGCCCTCAGGGAGCCCGGACAAAGGGACACGCCTGCTGTCTCTGGTCCTGTCCTACCAGTGGTCTGCCAGGAGAAGACAGCTGCTCTTCAGGTTAGGTGACACTGAGGGTCCCTCCTATGTTCATTTGAGCTGCAGTTCCTCCCTCCTGCCCAGTGGTAGTTCATGTTCTGAAGGGCTTCCTGGCCCAGCCTCCGGCTTGCTGGTGCCATGGTCAGAGGCTGAACCTTGTAAACCAGTCTGGACTTGAGTTCAGGCGCGGCCATGGCAGGCTGCCGGGGACGTGCCTTCTTCAGACGCTCTGGAGCCCCGGAGCATAGTCTGGGTGTGGAGAGTGTGAGCCGCGTGGCCCTGCTCTCGGGGCTGGGCTCTGGGGTGGTATGCCCATCTTCTGGTGTCTGGTTCCTCCGTCATGCACCTGTAGCTTCGCTGACTGGGGAGCTGGGGGCGGGGACTCCACCTAGAGCCCTCTCAGGGTCACCTCACATGGCCCTCCTGCCCAGCTTCTCCATCGCTCCCAAGCTGTGGTGAAGAGCTAGGAACGCTGAGTGGAAGTGCCTACCCTCAAGCATAGCATCTGAAGGGCTGGGCCTCACCTTGCTGCCCTGGGCCTGCCCACCGTCTGCCATCACTTAGCCGGAACCCCAAACCGAAGCAGTTTCTGGACCAAAGATGTCACCATGCCCAAAGTCAGCCCTGCCTTTTGTTTTGAGGAAGCAATTGAATGTGACAGGCAGCACTCTGAAGGTCAGCCCTTGTGTCATCTCTGGAGTCACAGGTCAGACTATCAAGTGTTACTGTCAGATCTGCTCAGAGTGGGGGACAGCTGAGGACAGGAAGATGAAAGAGCCTCAGGAGCCAGTCCGGCCAGCCTCCTCTGCACGGAGGAGGCCCCCCATGAAGCTCAGGGAGCCCCGGCATGGGCACCTCTTCCTTGAAGACTGCTGACCGCCCTGCCTCCCTGCCGCCTGTGTCCTCCCTGCCTGTGGTCAAGGCCAGAGGCATCTGGGGTGGCCTTTGAAGAAGCTGGGAGCCATAGGGAGCGGGGCACCGTGGGGTCTCCTAAAGGTCAGGGGCGTTCCCAGTCTGCTCAGGGGCACAGCTGTGCGCTTCACTTGGGCTCATGGGGGACGGTGAAGAGGGCTTTCTCTCCCACCGCCCTCTGGGCACCATCTCTGCCACTTCCTGTCTGCTTTAGCCCTGCATGCAAGAGAACAGCGTGGAGGCGCCACTCGGCGTCCCAGGGACCGTATCTGCAGGCTTCCAGAACCTTCCTGAGGGCTGAGCCCTTGGGCTGGTCCTTGAAGGTTCCCTGGGAAGTGGCAACAGTCTGCCCTCGGCCCTAGAAGGATCATGAAGGGACTTCAGAAGGTGAAGACCACCGTGCTGAGAGTTCCATGAAGGAAAAGACAGAAGCACAGAGCTGTGCGGGCCTCGGGGAGGGCTGTCAGCACAGCCCTGCCTGGTCCCGGGCCTCTGTGGAGGATAGACCACCGACTCCAGCATCAGGAGCATTCTCCCTCCTCTGCCTGGGAATGGTTTCTTTTTAGGCTTTTTTTTTTTTTTAATTCTGTGGGATATAAAATTGGCCTTTCGCTTTCTTGGCCTACCTCTCCCTTCTCTTGAACTCATGTCTGTGAGTCCACGTTCCGTCTGATACTCCAGGCTGCTCTGGTTGTGTGAGACTTGAAGCGCGTGTGTGAGTCCCGGCAGAAGGCTGACGAGACGCCTGCTTGGGCAGAACTCAACTTTAGTTCATTCTCCTTGGTGCTTTCCGTGGCTGAGGCCACGAGGCGGTCTCTTGCTGCAGAGCTGACCGTGCCTGTCCGCAGAGTTTTCTCGCCTGGTGACTCCAGCCAGAAAGGCCAGGCCTTGATCTCGGCCCGAGCCGTGTAGTGGGGCGGGGTGGGGGGCTGCAGCCTCTCTGGTTTGTTTACACTCATTTCACCGCCATTCCGGTCACTATGCCTGTAGACAGAAGTTTAAAAGCCGACACTTTGGAGAATAAGGAGATCAATCTGAAAAGGAAAAAGCCCAGCCTCCTGGGCGTAGACGTATCTGCACAGTGTTTCTGTGCCGCCATCACCCTCCCCACGGCCGCAGCGTGTGTTCATCGTGAGTGGGGAAGCACAGGATGGCCAGGGGCACCAGGCTTCTGGAAACCGTTCACAGAACCAGGGTGCCCACCCGAGAACACGCTGACCCTGGGGCAGACTGCCGCTTTCCCGCTGCTTCTGGGGCACAGGAAACAGTGGAGTCCCGTGATACCAGGAGGAGGAATTGGGGTCCCAGTGCCCAGTGTGGTGCAGTTGGGTTGCCAAGTACAAACATAGGTTCTTGAGAGGCCACGGCTCCCAAAGCCCCAGGGTGGGGCCAAGTGCCTTCAGCCCGCCCCAGGGAAAAGGATGTGCTTAGTGACATTGGCTAAGGCCGTCCTCGCTCGATCCTGCCTCTCCCCCCAGGTCTGACCACGGAGAGGTCACTGGCTGTGCCTGCCCACTGCCCCATCCGGCTGGCTTCCCTCTCGGCAGCTCTGCCCAGTTATGGGTGGCTGAGGGGAGGGTGGAGGGTGCCCCTTCCTCGAGGCCCAGGCTTCCTAACCTGGACAGAGTCCAGAGGCTGCCACCGCAAGTGGCAGCTTGCTGCTCATTAGAGACTGAGCTGAACAAGACCATGTGTTCTCAGGACCCGCTGGAAGTGGACTTGGGTCTGTCCCATGGGTCCTTCAGTGCAGGGGTGGGCGTGCTGAGGGCCCGGCCCAGCCCTGCCCTAGCGGCCTGGCCTGATTTGGGACATTTCTCTGCCCACACTCAGAAGGCCACTTCTGCTGTCACCCAGTTCTCAGTGGTCTTTGTCCATCTGCCTGGCTCCTGTACCTGTGGTGCCTGACAAGCCTGTGTGGGTTGGGCCACTGTGTGGGAAAGTTGGTCTCAGCCGGGAAGAAGGCTGAGAGAGCCAGCGGCAGGCTGGCAGGTTAGTGTGTGCACCCAGGGGAGGGGGTATCAGCACAGTGCTGATGCGTCATGGCGTGAAAGAGTTTTTACCATAGCTGCACCTGTGTCTGCAGAGAGGAGACAAGCTTGGGATTGAAGTTGGGATGCTCGGCGGCATGTGTACGAGCCACGCGGCAGACGCCTTGATCTGCTGGCTGGGTTTCTGTGACTCGGAGGCCCCAGGGAAGCAGGGCGAAGGCGCCAGGAACACGGAGGCAGCGTCTGGGGCTGGCCTGGAACAGGGTGGACGAGGACCTGGCAGTCCTGGTGCTCCCAGCACAAGACTTCCCTTGTTGGGGCTTGTGAAAACCAACCTTAGAGAAGGAAAAGGGATATTTGGATGTTGAATGTTGGGGGGGTGAACACACGTGCATGCACGCGTGTGCTCTTACACACGCTTGTGTGTGTGTTTACTTAATGGAATTTTATGTTTGTTAAATTCCTTTCCAGTCTTGTAGCAAATGAGACTCCATCTCCCAGTCAGAGTTCGGTGGCATGCCTTAGCCCGGGGTCGGCCATCTGAAGACTCCTGTGGGTTTCTGACAAGAGACCTGGTGGTCTGGCGGTGGAGCTTCTGGCGGGCTGGGAGAGTCTGGAGCTTACTGCGTTTCCATAGAGTTTACATCCTCTGCTTTAAAAGGGATGAAGGGCTCAGCCCTGGGATACTGGCCTCCCGGGCCGTTTCCCCCCCGGGGGCAGGGGCACGGTGCCCCTCCCCATGCCCGTTTCAGCTTCTCCACAGGCCGTGGAAGGAGGGTGTGCTCCTGCTTGTTTTGTAACACCACCACTGGAACATGGCGTTCTTTGCCTTTGTCAGGTTTCAGTTGATTGTGTAAAATGGCTCATTTCTCCTGTCATGAGTTGTGCTTACTGTGTCAGCATTCCCTTGAAGAGATAGTTGCACCTTGAAGTATGAAAAACAAAAGCACCCAGAGAGGAGCCTTGTCTGGTCCCAGACTCCCTCTGGCCTGTGTCACCCTGAGCGTCGCCCTCCAATGTTCTGCTGTGGACAAGCACGTTCCCACCAGCTGTGTTCAACACTACAGTGCGTTTTTTAAAAACGTTTGCATCCAAGACAATAAAAACCTTATTTTTTTGAAACACCTGTGCCGTGTGACCTTTAATGCCGCCCTGTTGTGCTCCAGCAGGCTGGTGAGATGATGCGATCAGACGGGGGTGGTCTTGCTGGCAGGCTGCTCCCACCCTGCTTGGTGTCTGTTCAGCCTGCATTGGAAGCTGGGGTGGGTCCTGGAAGGTATAGTAAAGAGAGTACGCCACCAGCAGACCAAAGGTGCCAAACTCCAGCACACACTCACCAGGGCCTGGTGGGGCATCGATTCTCCTGGAGGACAGTGGGGCTCGAGGAGATAGGCCAAAGCCCCCGTTTCCCCTCTGGAACATCAGCAGATGGCACTCACCTACACACTTCACCGAGTGGTTGGGAGGTGGTATAAATTCACGTACATCCAAATGACTAGGAACCCGAGAAGCTCTGTTCTATGAAGGTGGGGTAGTTATCAGGACACCCAACCCCCAGCTTTGCAAGGTGCCTGCTTGTGGTGACAGTCTCACAAGATTGCAGCCTCCCTGATGACCGTTTGCAGGTTGACTAGTGGACAGGTTCCCCTTTGCAGGTGCAGAAGAGAATTGGTTCCTCTTGTCTCCCTTCCAGGCCATCTGTTGGCATCCCTTCCTCCCCCTCGTCCTTTGTGAGAAGACCTGGGCTGCCCCTCTGAGGCCACCCTGGTCCTATGCCAGCTG